GAAGCTACAGAGCTTTGGTCAAACATTTAAAGTTTTAAGTAAAAAATGTGGAGCGTCACGACGAATAAGGAGCTGATGCATCCCAGAATCTGTCACTGGGAGTGGACAGTGTTGGAATATTTAAATAAAAGGCACTTATGTGTGAAGAAACAAGTGTATAAAAATGTACAATAAATACAGTCAAACCTTTTCTAAATACACTAAATATTTATATTGATTCTTATTTATTGTAGTTTTTTTTTAAGTGTCTGTAGGACTTCATGGCAAATCAACAAGCCAAATGTCTGCAGAAATTTCAAAATAAAAGTGATTTATTACACAACAGGTGGAATGTGACGCATGCATTCAGTTAAAAATATTTATATTTATTCATTTATTTTTTTAATGACAAACAGGAGGAAAACTGAAAGGTATAGTTTAGCTTTAGCACGTCAGTGTCTACATTCATTTAGGAGTGGCGGGCCACCATTCCTAAATCCTACCGGCCGCTCCTTCCATTTTTGTTTTTACGTTTTGTTGTTGTTGTTGCAAATACACCACAGCCCCATGTCTCCACCTTCACAGCAGAGTCCTGCACTGGGTCCACTACTCGCGAGTACTAAGGTTAACGACAGATAACTATCATGCTCACTATCTACTCTTTGAGGTGTTCATGCAACGTCAATTACTGGCGAGTACTGAGGTAAATGACAGATAACTATCTTGTTCGGTATCTACTCTTTGAGAGGTTAACACGTTATTATTTACTCGAGAGTACGCAGCCTTGAAAGTGACGTCACGTCCAGCACCAGGCTCCAGGTCAGAGAGTCAGAGGAGGGTCTCTTGGAGAACAGTGCAGCGACTTACCGGAGGAAAGGTAGATTCATTAGCTTACTCAGAATAGATTTTACAAGTTAATATTGATAGCCACTACCTAACACATCGGTATCTTAAGTTTATTGGCTTGGTGCCAACTCAGTGTTGCTAACGTGAGTAAGTTAACTGATAGCATGAAGCTAACATCTACAGGCCATCTTCTTCTCTAAGAAGAGAAAGACACCTGATGAAGATGATGCTAGCCAGGTAGCATTAGCCTTTTACTGACTCATAAATGATGATGTTCAGGTAAAAAATAGTGTTCACAGTGTTCAGATGTGATGTGAGTGTAAATGATGTAACATTAATGTTTAATGTAATCCTATAAGACCAGTAACATCAGACAGGGAGGAGCCGTGGACAGCAGCAGACATTTAATCATACATCATCAGACACAAACTAGAAACAGTTTTAAATGATTAGGGTGGAGGAAG